ACCAAAGCCCCAGTAGATAGTTGTACATCATAGTTGCACGTCCTTCTAGTTGCTGTATGTGGGACACGGCCTCAGCATGGCCGGAGAAGCGGTGCCTCGGTGCGCGCCCGGGATCCGAACCCGGGCTGCCAGTAGCGGAACACGCGCACTTAACTGCTAAGGCACCGGGCCGGCCCCTCTGTGATGTTTGCACAAAGATAAAATAGCGTAATGGATGCATTTCTCAGAACGAGTCCCCGTCGTTAAGCGACACATGACTGTACTTAAAACTTCCTCAAGCTTCTGCATCAGCTGTTGACTCTTCTGGCCAGAAAGAGCTCTCTGCCCCAAGACGGAGCCTGCTGGTTTACAAAGCCTGCTCTCAAAACTGCTGTGTTGTGGCAAGAATGTCTCTGAGAGGCCCTTTGAACAAATGCCAAAACTAGTTTTCATCACTTGTTGAAAAGACAGCATTTTGTCACCAAATCAACTCTTTGCTGAGTCCCCGGGTGGTAAGGATTGTGTGTGATTTTGAGCCAGGCAGTCCCATTCAGGGAGAGCTGAGGCTGGATCAAAACAAGACACAGATGTCTCTGTGATGTACAGGGAGTTCACCAGGCACTCCAACAGTACCTCCCTTCTCAGCGAACCATGAGCCCCTCAATGGCCGCCAGTAGATCCGTCAACCCTAGAGAGGCAGGCGAGAATGCCACCGAGGTTTCAAGAGATGCTTGTGTGCTTTCTCATTATTTGACGCCCTGAATCAATCAGGCATTGGCTGACAATTGGGACACAAGGTGCTAAACGGTTAGCACATAGGCCAGCTCGGGGGGAGAGGTGAAGGATGGGACCCCCTTCTTGCTGCAGGATGAGTCAGTAAGAGAGAGCACTGACCTGGGAGCTTAGACACCCGAGCACCAGTGGCAGTTCTGAACATTTTCTAGGACAAACCAAGCAGACGTGGTATAGCCACACCTGGGCATAGGCAGCACTGACCACACTTGTTTCCATGGTCTCTTGATTTGGTCTCTCTCTCTCTAGTTGGACTCAAGCTCCTTGAGGGTAGGACTCGTGTTGTCCCTCTGTGGCCCTACCACCTGGTATAAAGCCTAGCACACAGCAGGCCCTCAAGAGGGGTGTGTATGTGTGTGTGTGTGTGTGTGTGTCTGTGTGTGTGTGAACCAGGATGCTATAGTGAATTTCAGCCTGTAACACCAAGAAACAGTAGTTCCCATCTTCCAAAGGGAGTGCTAACATTTGCACATTTATAAATGTCCCTCCTGAAAACCAGTAACACGACTCTCGACCCTTCACTGATGGGGAACACGTGAATCGGCCGGGAGACTAGAAGCTGAAAGAGGGATTTTGGACAGAAGGTAGTGAGAAGTGAACCACCTCCTAAAGGGTTGGTGGGGAATCCTCGCTTCACCACTAGCCTCATGAATGGACCAGAACTGCTCAGCTTGGGGTGTGTACCGAATGACTTAGGTCCCTGAGTGGTCCTGGGGAAGCACCTCCTTCGGAACAACACAGATAACAGGCGAGTCCTGACAGGTGGGAAATGCAGAGGGCAGGGGCTGATTGAGTATCTGGACCAAGAGACTTGGGGCTGCAGGTGAGGATGTAACAGGACTATCAGGATTTGGAGGACAAAGGGTTCTGAATGTTGCTCAGGGAGCAAGCGAGAGAAAGACAGTTGGCATGGGGTTGTTTTAGATCCTGTTTGAAACAGCTGCCTGGAGAGGTGAACAGGCCCCAGCAGAGAAGCTAGAAGAATAGCCGGAAAGTCTGGGGCAGAGAGAGCAGTCTTGAGCAGCAGGGGAGTGCATCGTCCACTTCAAGGAAACCTCGGGCAGGATGTCCAGTGGTGGGGAAGCAACAGGAGTCTTCAAATAACCTGTGACAATGTCCACCAGGTTTTAGTGCCCAGGGAGCAGGATGCAGTTCATGGAAAACTTGCAACCTCCAAGAGATGCTTCTTTCTTTCCCATTCTCCACCCCTCGATGGTTGGGAAACCTGGCTAGCAAGTTGGAGGGATCAAAGTAGAAGCATAAGGAGTAGCAAGAGGGAGTGTAAGCCAACCATGCCTCCTTCCCCACCTGCAGACCACCCACTGCAGCAGCCCCACCCTGAGAAAGGGAAAAGTCTCACATTTGACCAGGTTCAGTTTTGACTCCTTGTTGCCACTGAAATTATTGACGAGAGGACTCGAATTACCCAAGAGTAAGAGTACCCGAGAAGAGTCATGGGTGGTCCCACGTTTTCATCCGGGGTTGGGGAGAAACTAGTCTCACTCAGTAAACTGAAATGGACAGTGGGCACAGAAATACAGTTTCTTTGTGATTATTCTTCCATTACTTGAGTTGTTCAGCAGAATGGTTACATGTGAGCAAACGTTGAAATGACATCTAGCTCACTTCCAATTCTAAAGCTCAGTGATACTTTTTGGCAACTATGTGCTGCACAAGGATCCCCCATTCTAGACCCTGAATTCCAAAATATCCTCAAAGGCTGCCCACCTTCCCTCCCCCACCCCCACGTCCTCTGAAGTATAAGACAAGCTCAGGTCATTGACCAATCAGCTTGTGGTCCACTCTGGCTCCAAGCCCAACCCAAGACCTGAAGGAACCTTCGTGAGTTTAGAGTATGGTTCTAAGCCCTGCGAGTTTCATTGGCTCCAGAGAATTTGTGAAGCTCCTCATTTGTGAGGTTCCCCTGATTCTCAAGTGTAGTCCTATGGAAGCCCTGAATCAGGGACCAGGGGCCAGAGTTGTTTCCCCGAAGGTTCCAGGTGACCAATCTGTCAAAGAGGGCAGATGAGCAGTTTGCACGTCCAAGCCCCCAGCAGCACTCACAGCCTGCAGAGTGCCAGACCAGTACTCCAGAGTTTAGCTCTGGTCCCTAAGCCAGCTGGGAGCCTTGGTGGGTCATCCAATTCCCCTGACCTTCCATTCCTTCTTTTAGCTATGGTTCTTAATCAAGGCTGCACAGCAGGATAACCCATGGAGCTTTTCAAAAAGATGTACATGCTTGGAGCCCACCCTGGGGGACAAGGTTCAGTTCGTCAGTGGGGAGGGTCGCAGCGTCTGCCTTGTCGAAAGCCCCATTGGTGACTCTCCCATGCATTCCTATTTGAGGACCATGGAGTGAGATGACACATCAGACCTCTTCCAGCTCCAACAACCTGGGGTTCTGGGATGAGAGTTCAGAGGACAGTTCGAGAGCGTTGACCTTGATTAGACTCCACCAGTGAGGTTAAACTATCCCAACTGCTAGTCAGTTCAGGCTTGCATTTCATTATCTCCCATTCCCAGACATGCTTAAAGACCCCAGGGGAAAGGAGAAAGGTAAAGTGACATGACCTGCACGTGATGGAAGGCCCCGTGCTACCCCTAATCCAGGCGGCACAGCCGGTGGTCACCTGGGAGACGCAGGGTGAAGTATAAAGTGTAGCATTTATAAGAGGGAAGTCTGCATCAGACTTGGGAACTGCGACCTTGGACAAGTAATGTCATTGCTCTGTGCCTCAGTTTCCTCATCCAGAGGTTGAGAATAATAGTACCAGCTTCATAGCATTGTAGTCAGGGGAGAGTTAATGCCTGCAGTGTTCAGAGGGGCCCAACTTCTCATGCAGGGTGAACACATGAATGTTCGCAAAAATAACTTTTCAGAGAGAGAAAGTAGGGTCTGCACAACAAGTCAGCTCAGCCATATTGAGAGCAGAGTAGAAAAGGAAAACCTTGATTCTGTTGTTCATGTATTGTGTACAGATTGTGAGGCAATAGCAGAAGGCATTACAGGGTGGTTGGCCCTGAGAACAGGAAGATGACAGGAGTCTAGATTTTCCAGGAAGTCGTTGTGACCATCCATGGGTCACAATTGCTCTGATGTGTTTGTTATGAGACCCCAGTGGGGTAAGAATGGTTCTCCTGAGAGCCCGCGAAACCTTGGAGTTACGGTGCTGTTGAAGGGCTAGCTCCCTGCCAAGAATTCATCTGGGTGCCCCAGAGAGCAGAGCTCACTGATAACTTTCACGCAGAGTGGATTCCCTCACCCCGCCAGGCACACAGGATGTGCCACTTGCTAGCATTCTCCCCTGCACTCAGAGGTCGGCCATCTTGTTTAACAAAACTCTCCTCACGTTTCCTGGTGGAGGGAGCATTTCTCATGATGCACTGTGCCCACGATGGCATCTGGCCATTCTGCCTGTATCAGGGCCATCTGAGGTTCCTGATGGGCCAGCGCCAGTGGGAGGGCAGATCCTCACACCTAGGACCAGCCCCCGTGCCCACATAACACCCTAACTTTCTGAAACTTTCACTGAACCTGAAAGTTTTACTATATGTTTTGAAAATTATGGAAACACTTTGAAATTGTATTTATAGGACATTGTCACTTTACTCATGTCTATGGATGAAGAACTACGAGCCTCTTTCTGTCTAAAAATAAAAGGATATCCTGAATAAATATTGTTGGTGTCTAATACGATATGAATAAGTAGCCTGAGGAGATTCACTTGTTCTTTCTGGTGTAATTAAGAAGTAACTCGATGAGTTTCATCTGCTCCTTTTAGGAGACACTAAAGAGGAAAATGCAAAAAGATCCTAATCCAAAGAATGTAGCCATAACGAGTCATTTTGGGACAATATAGTAGTTTGGGAAATCATTTTGTTTCCCTTCAGTTGCTCAAAGGACACTTGCTTCTTAAGCCAGAAGTCTGTGGTCTCTTGCAGTTGTCTAAGGTAGCGTTGACAGAAAGGTTTACCTGGAGGCGCATCTTGCGTTAGCTGGTAGTGGCAGCAGGAGCACAGTATTGAGGATTCTGAGCCTGCATCCGGCTCATTAGAAGACTTTGCCTGTGGTCAATGGCCGGTGTCTGGAATGGGCCTGGGACTGGGGTATGGCAGGTGGAGTGGGGCACAGGATGATTTCTTTACCGATGCTAACATAAAGAATCACTTGGATCAGGAGCATGTTAAACGATTTCCTAGTGCTCAACTCTCCCTTTCCTCCTGGGCAGGAGTTATACCACCAGTCCTATGACTGCGTCTGTGTCATGTTTGCCTCCATTCCGGATTTCAAAGAATTCTATACAGAATCCGATGTGAACAAGGAGGGCCTGGAATGCCTTCGGCTCCTGAACGAGATCATCGCCGACTTTGATGATGTAGGTACTTGAGAGTCACCCTTGACAGGTGGGGGTGACCCCAGTCCCACACCTGCGCATGCCTGGAGCCAGCGCATTTGAAGTTCGTTCAATACCATGGCGTATGTTAAAACTTGTCCTTTGGTGTAATTTTTGGTGGCTGGCGTTAAAGCTTTTTGCTCTATTTAGGTCCCTGACTAATTTTGGGGAGACAAAAGCATTTTATTATTGAAGCAGTTATGATTGCTAGGAACAACTAACAAAATTCAATCTAATAAAAATCTATCCAGTGTGCTATTTTGTTTTCTAGAAAGGCTTGAACTCCAGGGAAAATACTTGTCCATCCCTTTATATATAAAAAGATAATGAATATATTTATCATAGTAGATTATTGGTGTGTCTGTCTGTGCATACTCCAAGGTCTCTGTCAGATATTAACTTGAACTGTGCGAGGATGACATGCTTTATTATTGAGAAAGCAATATATGTGTGGGATAATATATTCTAGAAGGGACAAAGTATATGTTTTAGAATTTGAAATAGGTGTCATTTTTCAATTTTCAATTTTCTGCCTACAACGAGAATAATGTGTTTTGTTTTCTGGTAAGAATGAACACACCTCTGGTATTAAGGATATTGCTGCTACATCATTCTTATCAATATTGAGCAAAATATATGAAAATTGACACCCATGAACATACGTTCATTATGATTCATGGAACTTTAAAATACAGTGATGAAATTATGTAGTAAAATGGTTTCAGGCCAACCTTCTAAGTGTCTTGTGGGTCTCGTGCATTTCTCTACTACCACCATCGTCACCATGAGATTGACTCAAGATTCATGGTAAAGTAATGACAACTAGACATTTCCACTGTTAGGCTGAGTTTATAGTAAAAAGCAGTGGTATATTTGGTCCAGTTGCCCCTCAATAAAATAAACGTTCCCCAGCACTGGTGGGTGAGTGACAGTGCTCCTTCAGGTGGGATTGGCTCATGGATATGTGACATGTGATAGGGGGATTTGTTCACCTGTCTTAAATTCCGACATATAATCTTGAAGGAAATGTCTCTGAAAGTGGGAGTACCGAGGAAGGGTCAAGAAGATGCTCCCAGGCTTCAGTTGGCGCCATTGTCCTCCTGAGCAGAGACAGAACCTTCCAAAGTTTCCGTCACTTGTTCTCCCCACCCATTCTTTCTCATTCTTCCAGCTTCTGCTCTTATTTCTGCCTTTCTTCCATCCCACCCCAAGGCCTAAAGTAGTGGATGGGGAGGAGTCAAGTACGAAAGTGGTAACTGGTGCCAGAAACTGGGACAGGAAGTTTGGGGTAAGGGCTGATGGGAGGGGCCATTCTAGAGCTTTATTCCCTCCACATCAAGTGCTCAGAGGGCAAAATCCAATCCTCTGCATGAATTGGTCATAAGTCACCCTCACCGTGCAGGGAAGACCTCACTCACTGAATCATACTTTGTATTTAGGCCTTTGAAACATGGAATCGGGAAATTTATTAGAGGCCATTATCACTTGTGTCATAACTTATCCCGGTTCTTTCACTAGCAAATTTTGAAAGGTAATTTATGTTAATTGGAAGTAAATCCTTATACTGCATTTCCTTCCAAGGATACACTCTGTGTGAAATGCATAAAATGTTCTTTCCCAACAAAGCCCAAGTCGAAGGGTGGAGAAGCAGTGGTTGAAACCAGTCATGTTCCCATTACTGTGAACTAGAATTTGAAAATGTCTCTAGAACGTTCCTGGTTCTGGGTCAGCACCTGACTGAGTAACCAGATGCCTGTCGTTGCTTCGCAGCTGTTGTCCAAGCCAAAATTCAGTGGAGTTGAGAAGATCAAGACCATTGGCAGCACATACATGGCCGCGACGGGTCTGAGCGCAGTGCCCAGCCAAGAGCATGCCCAGGTACAGATGTGTCAGCCGCACGGTGGTGCATGGGAGCCTCGGCTCTGCCCACGGGTCGTCCCTGGAGCCAAAACAGCCATCAACTGTACTGGGTGCACAACCTAAACCTCAGTGATTGAGGTCTTATGAGACAAGCTGAGAATTCTGGAGGCTTCTGAGGGTCTGTTCACAGAATTTTCTCTGGTGGACAGGGGAAGAAACAACTGACCAATCTGGTAGCTGCTTGATATCAGATAAATATGCAAGAAAGTAGAAGGTTAGGGCTGTTTATTTAAAGGTGACTCATTAAAGGATGGCTCCTGGTCTTTTGATTAAAAACAATGTGTTGTCAAAAAATGAGCTGACCACGTAGAAATATGGTTGAAAGGTGATTTGGGCAAAATTGAGTATCTGCAGTCAACTGGAGTTTTTGAGGGGATTTTCTGTTATGTTGTGTTTTGTTTCGGTGTGTGTGTGTAGATATGCTTGTGTAACTTGTGGGTCAATAAGCAAGACCCCCTTTTCCTTCAGAAGAGTGGACTCCCTGATGTCACCAACACAGGTTTGCTGTGGGGCAGAGGTGGTGGTTGCAGCACAAGGAGAAGAACTCACCAGAGCACAGCTGGCTCTAGGCAGGCAGCTTCCCCCCAGGAGAGGAAGGGCTGAGCCCCACGTACCCAGCCCCCTCTCCCACTCCCACCTCCCGTTGGACGGGGCAGGAAGGGACAGAGGGACAGGAGCATGCTAAAATAGAGCTCCCTCCTCCAGGGACATCAGGAGGGGGTCCTCTTTTCCCTCTTAACATTCGTGGGCAGAGACTAGAACATGAAACATCTGACTCAAAATTAACACGAGCGTTTTTCCAAGTGAATGAGGTCATATGTATTTCGTTTGCTCTTGTCTTCGGGTGTTTGCTTCCAGATTATTACTTTTTAATGCATATGCATTACTTTAGTAATAAGGAAAAGTAAAAGAAACTAGCAATAAAAGCAACCTTAGAGGAATCTTATCTTGGGTTCTGAGCAGCGCCCTCCAAGCCATCTTGGCACCTGAGGCAAAGGAAAAATGTTCGCCCCTATATACGTGGTGTTGTGTATTTTTAATGGTTGGGTTTTTATTGCCAGAATGTTAAAGTGTTGAAAAACTACTGGAAAATTTAAAAATAGAGGTATTAAAGTGTATAACATTGTTTTAATTTTGAATATCTTATTTATACCAAAAACAGAACTAATTATAATTTTATTTTCCTGGCTGTAATGGAAGCAAATTTATACTTTTTCAATCCCTTTGACGTTCCAGAAAAAAATTAACCATTAAAAAAATAACATTTGGGGGGCCAGCCTGGTGGCGTAGTGGTTAAATGCGTGCGCTCCGCTGCTGGAGGCCCGGGTTCAGATCCCGGGCACGCACTGATGCACCGCTTGTCAAGCCATGCTGTGGCAGCGTCCCATATAAAGTGGAGGAAGATGGGCACAGATGTTAGCTCAGGGACAGTCTTCCTCAGCAAAAAGAGGAGGATTGGCAGATGTTAGCTCAGGGCTGATCCTCCTCACAAAAAAAAAATAATAATAATAACATTTCGGGCTGGCCCAGTGGTATAGTGGTTAGGTTCACGCAGTCCACTTTGGCAGCCTGGGGTTTGCAGGTTTGGATCCCGGGTGTGGACCTACGCACTGCTCATCAAGTCATGCTGTTGCAGCATCCCATATACAAAATAGAGGAGTATGGGCACAGATGTTAGCTCAGGGCCAACCTTCCTCAACAAAAAAAAAAAACATAAAATCATGTATATAGAAACAGACATCTTTCCTTTTGCCTCAGGCTCTCAAATGCTCAGCATAGCTCTGTCAGAATCTGTCTTAGTCAGTTCGGGCCGCCATAACAAAACACCACAGGCTGGCTGGCTTCAACAACAGACATTTATTTTCTCACAGCTCTGAAGGCTGGAAGTCCCAGGTCAGGTCCTGTAGGTTCCCGTTCCTGGTGAGATTTCCCTTCCTGGCTTGTAGATTGCCCTCTTCTTGCTGGGTCCTCACATGGTAGAGAAAGAGGAATCTTGATGGGGATTTCTCTCTTCTGCTGTCATCAAAACTTGCCTTCTTAGCTCTCCATGAGCTGCTTCCTGACTTCTTACCAGTCACCATTGTTAATAAATGACTATTTATCTTCATGGTAGAACGGAAAGGGCATGGCTTTCAAGGGAGACTGCTCATTACTTACTATAATAGCTGAGATTTCTGCACTCCGTGTCCTTATGTATAAAATGGGGATCATAGCCGTTTCATAAGGCTGTTGGGAAGACTACATTAATATGCAAAATACTTAATAGACTCTATGGGCAGAGTAGGTAATAAAAATGATATAGTTCTCCATCAGCTGAATCTCTCTTAGACCCATCATCCAACCCCCCCCCCCCCGCACCATTTTATCAGCAAGAATATCAAGGAAAGCTGCTTACCTATTTGTTTACATGTTTGTTACATGCATATTTCATTTAAATTTCTCCCTTAAGAAGCTTACAAAAAGGAATACAATGCAAAAATATTTTTAAATTACTCAACTAATGTGGAAGGAACTTGAAAGATAAGATAGAAACAAAGATAAGGATGATACATAAAATGCAAATAGCAATGTCCTGACCATGTTCTAGGTGCGCACAGGGTGAGAGGGAAGATGGCTAAGTTGTTAACACTGAGGACCCTGGAGTCAGATTGTCTGGCTGCAGAACATGATTGTGCCACTTACACAAGTGATGGACTCTCTGGGTTCCCTTTCCCCACCTGCACAACAGGGATAAAGAGAAGAGCTCCTTCATGGGAGTCATTGCAAGGATTAAACACAAACGGACATAGAGTGTTGCTAGTACTGGTTCTGAAATTTCCAGCAGCCAAAACAAGTACAATGTTTCAGTGTTCATAAAGTAAGGTCAAATCACTCATTCATTAACATATTTGAAACAAGACCAAGTCAGGTTGGCGTTGGGTATCCCACTGGGCCCCTGACCCAAGCTCTGACAAATAGGCCCTCATACACATCACCATGGGTCTAGAGTGAAGAGTGTGTTCAGTAATTTCCTCATGGAAAATAGTTTAAAAAGTTGGGAGTGGGGATGTTCACTAGAACGTCCCTTAATGTGTATCTAATCAAATACATTCTCTGGCAGAGTGAGATCAGATGGAGAGCAGTGAGAGTCCAATTTAATCCAAGTTTAGTGAATCTTTGGCCTTAATGAATCCATAAATGTCATTTCGTGCCTCAGAGTTTTGGTAAACACTGGGAAGTTGTGAGTTCCAGTCATGTTCTCTGACAGATGCCTGAAACTCTGGTGTTCTGAGCCACCAAGTGAGGGCCAATGTTCATGCTGTGAAGATTACCTCACCTGGGAGAAGGCTAATGTCCCTTCAGAGAACCTCAAGGTCTGCTCAGATCTCCCAGGAGCTCCAAGCCAGAGACCAAGGTGCTCTTAGTCAGCAGTTCTAAATCTTCAAAATCAGGTGAACGCCAGCATCACAGACGCTCAGTGAATATTTGACGAATGGAAGAAGGGGAAGGAGGAAAGAGAGGAGAGGACAGGAGAGGAGGGGCATGTTAATTTTAGCTTAAAAAATTACCTTGGTTGTTACTGTTGGGGAGGAAGACAAATCCTCTACCCTCTCTAGGTCCTTCTGGCTGCACTATGAATTAAATTGACATGAGACAGAATAACAGGAGAAAAATCAAACAAACCTGTATAACATGTACACGTGGGAGAAACCCAGGGAAGCTGAGTAACTCACCAAAAGGGCAGAGGCTGTTACCGTAAATGCTATCTTCAGCTAAAGAAAAGGAGGATGTTGGGGATGTGGGGGGAGTCAGTTATGGGAGATTACCAGAAAAGCCCAGTAAACAAGAGTAAGATTATTACGCAGATTTAAGTCCTTGCCTTCCACATTGATAAGAGTTTCTAGAGATAAGGTCATCCTCCCTTCTTCCTGGTAGAGACGGGGAGACACCTGTACAAATGAAGATTTCCCTTACAAGTGTAAATGTCTCTTACAAGGGGTAACTTCTACTTTTCAGAGCCTCTCCCATGTCTGCAGTTTTTAAAAGTATCCAGCCCAAAATAATCCTCATGCTAAAGAGACACATTTGGGAGTGGCCAATTCTGATACCCCACATTACCCAACAGTCCCTTGACTGATAAGATAACCTCAGTAAACATGCATTTACTTTAAGCAGTGTTCCTTGCTGGTGAAACTTCCGAAACAGCTTGCAAAATGTGTTCTAGGGAACCGAATGAGTCGTCTCACTGTGTGGCTGGAAGTCAGTTAAATGTTTGGAGGTATCTAACAGAAACTATTTGGATCATGGGAGAAAGAGCTGCTTCATACTGTCATCAAATATTTATCAAAAGCTCAGTTATAAGGACTTTTGAAATGAACTGAGTTCTTCTAGGGCCTGAGCATGATTTTTTTCTAGGGTTTACTAGGCTCAAATGAGTTATTTGAGCATTAGATTTAAACCCCATTTCCAGAACTCGGTGTCTTCATTTGTTGCTGAGGTCACATAAGACCTGCAGTGTAAGCTCACTGTGTGAAAACAGATTGGGCGATACTTTATTGGAGAGTGAAGCGAATTTGCTGCACCTTGGTTCACTAAAAAAGCAAACCATTTCTCCTGCAGCCAATCTGTTCTCCTTGCTAGGACAGTGTCATTTTTACTGCATAGGATTTTGCCTGTTGATTTAACAGCGTGTGCTTCCCGTTAAGTAGCAAGATGTTTTCCAGCTGGCTGCACAAACCTCCAAATCGTGGTTTCTCCATAAGTCATGAGACAAGAAATAGTAGCCCTGATAGAAAAGCGTAATTGGTCTTCAGAAATGACTCTGCGTTTTCACCGAAGTTAGCTGGCAGTCAGCTTCATAGTTCCAATTTTTAAAATTGTTTGGATTTTCACCCACAATTTTAAGTTGAGGATTTATGGCAACAATAGTATTTCGTTCGCCTTTTTCTAGAATGATGTAATTCACCTGAGGAAAGAAAGAACTCTTTCTTTTGGAACCAGAAATTTACTTCCTCTTCTTCATTCGTATTTATATTATTTAGTGCAGTGGTCTCTACTAGAAGCAATTTTGCCCCCCAAGGGACATTTGCTAATGTCTGGAGACATTTTTGGTGTCACGACCGGAAGGGGAGGTGCTACTGGCCTCTGGTGGGTGGAGGCAGGGATGCTGCCCAACGTCCTACAGTGCACGAGACACTCTTCCATCCACCACAACAGGGAATTATCCCCCCAGATGTCAGCAACAGAGGTTGAGAAACCTGCTTTAGTGCTCTCCCTCTTCCCTCGCGTTCCACCAATGCAAAGTGGATTTGCTGAATAACCCCCTTTGTCATTTGCCTTTTCCTTTCGTTGTTTCCTTGGTTTTCTCCATCTCCCTGTCATCCTGAGTAAGCAGTTTACGTCCACTGTCTCCATTTTCCTTCTCACTCATCCCTACTGAGACCCTCAGCGTTGGTTTTCATCTTCACCCTCTGTAGAGAATGCTCCCCCACAGTCGGTCACCAGGTGCCTCCTCTTTGAATGTCCCCGAAAGCTTTTTCCATCTCTGATTGAGCTCCTCTGGGGCCCAGTGGGATTAAACCCTTGTCCCAGAAGTCACCTTCTGTTTCTCCTACTCTTAAGTATTCCAGTGTCTCTTACTGACGCCCCTCGTCCCACCTGAGGGCGTTCCCCAGCTCACCCCTCTAAGATTCTATCCTTTTCTTCCCTTGGACCCTCACTCACTTTAGTGGACTCATGAATGATCCCTTCTGGGCACGTGCTCCCCAGGTGAGCATCAGGCAGCCTCGACCTTCCACCAGAGCTTGATGATTCTCTCTGCTCCTCCCCGCCATTTCCTCTTGGCTCCCCAACAGTCAACCTAAGTGTAGTCTCTCCGTCAACATTTATCAAGTGCTTCTCCTGTGCCAGACACACTCGTATTGTGGAGACACATAGTCTCTGTGCTTGTGGAGCTCACAACCAGTGAGGGGGACAAAAGAAAGACCGCACTGACTTCAGGGCTGAGATGGACATCTGTGCCACAAGCCACAGATGAGTACACAGGCCTGCCGGCAGGGCTGGGACTGAGTTTCACCAGGCAGGCTGAACAGAAGCTGTGCTCCAAACCATCTTGGTGCACCCAATCATTAAATACTGGGGGAGCGGGAACCTTCAGGACATGTAAATACATTTTCTGAATTATATACATATACTAATAATCTATTTTTATGATATAACCAAAAATAGAAATTTTTTGAAGATAAACTTCAAAAATAAATACAAATATAATAGGTGTTACAAATGAATGGTAAATATAAATTAGCAACAGGAATAATAAATGTAAATTAATAGTAAACAGAAATAGAAATTTCCACTTATCTTCATTGGAAACCTTGGACTTTTCCTCTTCTTCAGCTCCATATGTATGATAGCCCTATTCCTCAGGGGATGATAAACCACCCAGACACGAGTAAAGGCAGAAAAGTGTTACCCTCTGTATTAGTCTACTAGGGCTGTCATAACCGTGTAACACAGACCTGGCAGCTTAAACAACAGAAAGTTATTTTCTCCCAGTTCTAGAGGCTGGAAGTCTAAGATTAAGGTGCCCACAGGATTGATTTCTTCTGAAGCTTCTCTCCTTGGCACGTAGATTGCCGTCTTCTCCCTGTTGTCACATGGTCTTCCGTCTGTATGTGTCTGTGTCCTAATCTCCTTTACATATAAGGACACCAATCATACTGTATTAATCGGATTAATGACGTAGTTTAATCTTAATTACCTCTTTAAAGACCCTATCTCCAAATACAGTCACATTCTGAGGTACTGAGGATTAGGACTTCAACATACGAATTTTGGGAGGGACACAATTCAGCCCCTAAGATCCCCTCCCCCAAAGAGGCAAAAGGAGGGGAAGGTGTTTCCAGACCAGGGAGAGCTGTGGCAGGTGAGGATGGGGAAGAGGAGAAATGAATCCCCCCACTTCTCTGTCCTCCTGCCCCTTGACGTTCCCCTGGCCCTGCAATTGGTCAATCCAACAGGAAGCCAGAGGACAGGAAGTGCAGTCCCTAGAGGTCAGCCTCCCAGAGCCAGAGCCCAGTGGAGAAGGGTCAAGACTGGGTTTGAAGGGCAATGGAGAACCTGGGCCAGCCCCTCCCCAACGGTGCCTTCTGTTGGCGATTTCTGGGTTAAAACAATGTAGGCCCTGCCCAGTGTCTTCTAGTGTTTCATGTGTCCCCAAGGCCACAGAAATGAGTATGGACACAATGCTTCCTTGAGATGAGAATTAATTCTTACAAAATGTCTGCAGTGCATTGAGCATCATTTGTAAGCATTCCTTTCTGGCTGAAGCCCAGGTTTGTGACTGAAGGGAGTCCTTCCAGCTGGTTTAGCTCTGACCCCGTCCACATGTGTTTGTCTCCACTCAGGAGCCCGAGAGGCAGTACATGCACATAGGCACCATGGTGGAGTTCGCCTTTGCCCTGGTGGCGAAACTGGACGCCATCAACAAGCACTCTTTCAACGACTTCAAGTTACGAGTGGGTGAGTTGTGCCAAGAGATCTGGTTTCAGCTGCGGAGAAGGCTTAGAATAATAAACAAATTCTCGGGAAATGTTGATAGTCCTTGCGATGTTGGAGGAGGACAATGACAAATGCATCTTTAGACCTGCAGGACTGGCTTGCAGGTGGAAGGGCTCAGGGAGGTTATGAGCCCCTGGGGCACTTTTGTGCAAATTAGGAAAAAAATGCCCCTTTGATTGGACTCAGGCTGCAAGCACTTGGTTTAGCAAGTGGCCTGTGAGCTGGATTCCAGTCCCACTGCCCATGTCCTTCCAGCCAGGGTCCCTCTGCAAGCCACGGCATGCATAGCCTTAAGCCATCCCAAGGAGCTAATTTAAGCCATTGTCTGTAAGCCAATCCATTATTTTATGGACCGCTGCCAATGAAACAGGGACCCACCACGTGCTGTAAGATGCATCCAGATTTCGGAGATATAGAAATGTAAAAAAAAAAAGTTGCATCTTAGAATTGTTGAAATAGTCACACACTGCTGGGGTCACAACCTCCAGGAACACCACACATGTGTCCTAGGTTCTGAAAAAGCTGTAGCTTTTCAGATTCAATGTTCAAATCCAAGAGAAAAAGCCAACTTTCTTTCAAGTTAGAAAAAAATTTCTAATAAGTTCTTCCCTTTAGGTTGATTCTTGAGCGTGTTTCATGCTTGTGTGCCTTTTACAAACGTCTATCAAGAAAAAAAAAAGTGTGTTTTAAGCCCTCGGGTTAGCACACAGCTGCCTCGTGAGGTTTGCGGTTACTTGCAGCTGTGCATGATTTATGAAAGCTTCTTTGACCATTTTATGTTTTTCTTGGCAACATTTTGCTTCTTCGGAAGGCGAGTCCATGTAAAAGTAGTTCTTTTAACACATGTCATCTGAATGGCTTTTCACTTCTCTTGCATACAGATTTCAACTTTTTAAAAAATCCCGATATTTAGAGCTATTTTCTTCCTTTGCTCTGCATATATTCTGAATTTTAAAACCCAGAAGCATTCCACACCTCTTGGACAAATGGGATTCCCTTCGCTGTATGTGTGTCCTGTTAATTGGCAGCATCTGGACACGTTTTCTTTATGCTTTCTCACCCCCTGCACATGGACCTTTGTCCAGGCTCCGCGTATACGAATGTGGGAAGGGCCGGGCGGGCAGGGGGCTGCCCAGTCAGCCTGCTGACCGCATCAAATGTGGAGGTGTCCCTTTGACCCGGGAGCTTCTTCATTGTTTTGACAGCTTAAAAATGGGCTCCTCAGACTTTCATACTACCCTCCTTTAAAGAAAACATCTATCCCGTGGCAGAATGACCCCTCTATTGTCAAACATATATGAACCAAAATCATATTGCCCTTCATTGAGAGGGGGAACGGGGAAGATTATTTGCTACTTATATCCAAAGCACAGTGTTCTTGGTTCTTGGACCATAACGATGTTTTCCAAATCAATGAGCAATTGAATGGACCTCCCTCAGTATCTGTTATTGAGTGCTTACTTTATACTGATCATTGAGTAACTATTAATATCTGTGCACTCGCCCCACATACCTGCTCTCTTAGATTTCTAAGGAAGCCTAAGCTCAGTGTTTCACCGGGCCTTTGAGCCTACCTTTCCCCAAACACTCAGCCTCTCCCGGGGGCGGCTTCCCTGCTCCACCGCGGTGCATGGCGCCATCCAGTGGCACATCGCAGTAGGAACTCTGAACAGTAACAATGCACCCCCAAAATGATGATTCAAATAATGAGTCATATTCGCTTTTGGTGTCCTTTTCTGCACGTCAATCTGTAGAATCAATTGGTTACTGGGAACCACAAATCGAGCACACGCCTGCCCTAAGTAGAGATCACCCTGTTGCCAGCGAAAATGGGTCCAGGCTCTCTCTCCATCCCTGAGCTGCTGACCAAGCAGGACTCAACAGGCAAAAGGAAAGCTGATGGCAGAGGAGATCACTGGCCAGCAGCTGGAATGAACTATCTGGGGTGTCTAAAGCAGAGGTGTGAGTTTTATTGAGTGCTCCACAAAAGCAAAGGAGAATTTCTCTCTCGCCTCTTGTGAACCTTTGAAGATTGGGTGGAACAGTGTTTGTACTGCTCATCCTGCCTGTCTTTCCACTGCAAAGAGGAAGCCTGGCCTTGGATCTGTAACAGGCTGTAGAACCACATAGTTCAGCAGTGGGAAATGAAGTCTCTCAGAAACACCCTCATTAATCAATACAATTTGACTCCTGTAGTAAGACAGGGGTCCAAGATCCAGGAGAAAATGTAGGGGGAATAAACAACCAATCTCCATATCTCTATTTCTGTTTCTATAGCCCTCCTCCACACCACTCTCATAACAACTGTGCGTCTGTGAGTTTGAACTGGGTTCTTGGGACAAGGAATCATCCTACCCTACCGGTGAAGTGGGGGTGGGAGAAGAACCAGGCCTCTCCTTGACTAGGGAAGTTGATCAGACTTTTGAAACTCTGGCTTCTGATGGCGGATGCCATCTCTGTATCTCATGCAGTGTCAGAGCGCACCCTGACCTCAGGTGTATACGTATGATAACCATGGTTTTATAATTACAATTACTAAGAGGGGGCGGTCAGAGCAACCGTCACCTTCACTGTTAGTGGTGGCCCAGGATGCCTGAATATCTGGGGAAGGAACGTGGGCGCAGTGCCACGTACCCCTTGAATGTAAGAAATCCACCACACCTTGGCGAGAACTCAGCCAGCTGGACTGAAGGGAGGTGACTCATTCATTTCTCCAGCGACCTTTGGTTCAGTCTCTTTGGAGAATTGCAGCTTGTGAGGAGGCTAATGCCCCAGAGGTTGGATTTTCCTCACTCTGGTGGGTGCAGAGCTGCAAAGCCCAGCTTCAAGGGGGCCAAGAACCCCACCAGCAGAGCCTGACAGACCTTCCAAAGCTTGTGTGGAGACCGCCCGGGTGTCACTCCGCCCACTAGGGTGAGCTCCACCTGCCCTGGGATCTCCTGCAGACACGAGCTCTTGGGACCACCCTCAGTCCTCTCGTTTCTACCCTCTTGTCCTTCCCCGGTTGTGTATTGTTAAGTGCCAGTCATGTTCTCTTGTGAAAATTCCCCCAAATTTGAATTCTGTCAAAATCTCTATATTATGAATATTAAGATTTGTTGGTTTTTTTAATGCTGACGCTAGGAGACTCCCTCACTAGCTGCAGGCAGGCTGGGGTCGTCCTTTGGAAGGCGGTTTACCATGGGAATCAAGAGCACAAAAATACTTCTCAGGAATTCAGTCGACTCACTGATGGGATGTTGTTAAAGGCAGCACCCCTCAGGGTGGGAAGAAGCCATGTGCTCCAGAAGCTCATGACAGAGATAGGAGAGGAGATACCTTACGAGCAGGTGTCAGGGAGCCCACTGCGTGGCTTTGCCGTCTGCCTCTGCCATCTACTGCCTGGCTGATGGCTCCGTGCCTCTGCTTCCTCACCTGAAAATCGGTGATGATAACAGTACCCACCCCCTAGGGCTGTTGTGAGAATTAGAAGAGTTTTTATTTGTCAAGCATGTAGAATAGTGCGTGGCAAGTAAAAAATGCAATACTAGCGTGGTGGTGGTGGTGGTGGTAGTGGTTTTAGCAAAACATTAGCATGAACGTAACAGTCCAATAGTAGCAGAATGCCAATAATTATAGTACATGCACTCAGTGTAGCCATTTAAAATAAAAATATGTGTATTTCAAAATTAACTAACTATAAAACCAATGGAAAACAATATAGTGATCACCTCTTGCCTGAGATTATATAGCAACAGAGAAAAACAATTATATCACAATGTTCAGTTCTTCAAAGCATACCAATTTTATGTTATCATGGAACAATGATAAATGGACATATAAGTATGAATCAAGATCCAAAAGGGAAAAAAAGACAAACATAAACATTTTAATATTTTTGAGAGGATAGTTAGAGGAATTATTTTCTTTGCTTTAGAGTTCCATGAGTTGGCCTAATGTCTGTTCAATAATGATGATTCAGGAAGGTTCTTGTAAAACTTTTCTGTTTAAGACAGTTGCTAGCATTTAAATCTTGTTAACCCAATTCTGATGTGTCACAGGTATTAACCATGGACCTGTAATAGCTGGTGTAATTGGAGCTCAGAAGCCACAATATGATATCTGGGGCAACACCGTAAATGTGGCCAGTAGGATGGACAGCACCGGAGTTCTGGACAAAATACAGGTAATTCAGTCTGCTCAGCCAACATCGGGCAGGTCTGTCCTCTTGGAAACCATAAATAACCATATCATGTAGACCATAAGTGATAATAATATATTAAAACAAAGGAAAGGAAGTAAACCTTGAGATTTACCTACACCTTCTTATTGGGGAAATGTTAACACAATAAAAATTATAATAATGTAAAGGTTATTGCATTTGTGAAAGCAAATGATCACAACGACCAACATGGCAGTATGACAGCCTGAGCATGAAGTCCAGGAGCAGGGCCCCTCTCTCCTCCTCCCTCTCCTGGACCCTACACCCTGAAAAGGGCTTTACAAGGGAGAGAGATCATCTCACCAAAACTAGATATAACCTCCTGCCTTCCTCTCCCCGATGGCTGAATAGAGAGGAGTGAAGGAGTGGACTAGGGAGAGGAAAGAAATGCAATTAAAGGTGATATGAAATGGCAGTACTAAATTGCACTAGCATGGGATATGGGCATCCAGAAATGGCTGGAAGGCTCTGGAATCTACCCAAGTGAGAAAAAGCCAAGACCTGACAAGTTAAAAGCTGTGATGAATGCATGCACCTGCTTGGGCACAGTGCCAGACACCTAGAACAAGAGACTAACTTCTCCAAATGAGAAGGGTGTGTGTTTGGGGGGTGGTGTGTGTCTGTGCTGAACTGTCTAGTTGCCTCACTCTCAAAAAGCAATGGTTCCACATTTCACCCCAGACATGTACTCTGGAATATAAATTCCTGCCAAATGGCAAATTTGTATGAAAATCAGTGGTCACAATAGGCTATCTCGATTTTTTCTCCTTTACGGAGAATTCAGTGAGCCCCTGTACTGTGTGTCTTGGCTGAGGTCTTCAAATAACTTTGCCTCAGAAAATTATGATGGAGACTTAGAGTCCTTTATTAACTTCTGGAGACAACATCAGTATCAGCAAGATGGGCTTTTCATTAAACCTCTGCTTTCTTGCTTGCCTTCCGTGCTACTCCACCTCCTTCATCCAAGAGGATCCTATTGCTGTGGCCTCTCTAAAGCATATCTTTAATTTTACGTGGAAGGTGACAAACGTTGCTTCTAAGGGTTTGCCTTCTTCCAGTCAGATTATTAGTCAACAGTGGCTGAAAAGTAAGCAGCCATCCCACGAAGAGAAGGGAGAGAGAAAAAAGAAAAGCGAGGGGAGGGGGAGAGGAAAGTTCCCGGGCCTTCCCAGCCAAATTAACCACTGCCAAGAGAAAAGAGCTTGCTCTGCTCACGAGATCCAACCTGAAAGAAGCTCTCAGCAAAAAGGGGCTCCTCTGACTGGGCTGGAGCAGTGGTCACTGTCTGTGGAGACGGACCAATTCCCACACTTGAGAGGAATGGTCAGCCATCTTGGCAGCCTAGTCTAACTACATCTTGATGACACCATGGCTTCTGGGGCTTTCTGCATGCACATCACTGGCTGCTGCCAATGCCCAGGATGCTCCAGCATTCCTGAACAACCTGGGGTCTTCTTTTTGGTGTGGGGAAAGGCATGCTTCTACCAACTTAGGCCCCCACCACAAACCTAGAACGTTCAGAAGATAGATGGTAGTTTTAATATGCTTCACAACTCTCCAAGCGGTTTTCAAGCACTTGAGCTAAGTATCAAAAGCAATATAAGAGAGTCTGGTCAGGGAGAGTGCTCCCTCCTAGAGATTGTAAATCCCCTACAGGTCACTGTCTAAAATGAGTTTGAGCTCATGGGTGTCTCTAAGAGGATATTGGGCATCGTAAAACTCTTTGTGATTTAGTGCAGAGCAGCCATCTGGACAGTCTCTCTGCTCTCTGAGCCTCAGGGAAGAAATAAGACAGTTGCTGCCTGTCAAGAGTGAAGTATGTCTGCAGGCCTGTGTGTGCTTCAGCCCAGCAGCTGGAAGGTTCACATTTGGGTAGATTTTCTTCTCCTGAGCGTGAAGCTCACTCCAGCTCCAGGAGCCTCTCATTTCCATTTATGTGCAAAAAAAGTGGTGAGATGCCAGGAAAAATAAAAAATGATGCAGAGACCATTAAAACTTCTCCTGGGCCTGAGGAGTGGGTTCTTTTTATTAAAGAGCATTACCCTCCCACCATGCTTTCTAGCCTGGAAGCCCAAAGAACTCATCACCCAGCCAGGCTTCCCTGGACTTGGAGGAATAATAGCTTGTGTTAATCAGGGAGTCGACTCCCTCCTCCCCGCTTCATGATGATTGTGTGGTTGGTGTTACAAATGCCAGTGGATAGCTCAGAAAGGCCAGTGGGGACACTCAGCACCAGTAAATACCTCAACTGCAAAATTAACCTCCAAGGTTCCAAAAGATGTGTTTGTTCTCTGTGTGGAAGGTCAGAAGTCAAATGCCTATAGAATTTTCGAATTCTGAGTGCCCCTAAGCTCTCTGATCATGAGAACACATTTGTAATCTGAGTTTCTTGACTATATCCACATGCTTTCAGTTCTTGTCCAGAATCCAAAGTCCCTCCTGTGCTGCTGGCTTCACCCTCAAGCTCCACCTGTCCTCCCCCAGGCTGAGCCAGGGGAGAGGAAGACATGAGCATCTAGTACCTGGGTCCTCCTTTTCCTTCCCACTCTGCTCCTAAGGGTCCTGAGGACCCACACATTGGCCCCTGTGCCAGAGGCTGACCACTGTGTCACCTTGCAGGAAGATGGAGTGATTTTTCTAGCTCTTTCTCTGCCCTTGATCTTTACATGGCACACTTCACCGTACTTTTGAGAGCCCCCAGACGCTGTCCTGGGTTCTTATAAGCTCAGTTCTCCTATGATTTTGATGTGCTTCTGCCTCTGTCCCATGGCAGTATGTGCCCTTGAGGCCTCACTCAGCCCCCCAGCCCAAGGAGGCTGGCTCATTGCTGCTGCCACTGCCCCCACCACTGCACCGTCCCCCAACAGTGCCCACACCAAAAACAGAATTGTGGTGTGGCATTGCTGTGTTGTCCACCAGCCCGCCCAGCACATGTGCGTCACCCACATGCCCGAGGGGGCTGGGGCCCCATAGGGCTCCTTGTGGCAGCCGTGTCCATTTCCTCTGATGAAGTAAGGGGAAATCCCTCCTCCTCTGCTTTTTCACACAGTTCCAAAGCAGCGTTACCAGGGGTTTCTGGTAAACAGCTCCCTCCCTCTCTGCTCCATACCCAGATACCTCCTAGGGAGGACCATGTGTCCGACAAGGGGGTCTTCCCTCACCTCAGGATCTGAGGCCTCATTCTTAGCCAAGTCTGTGCATGTCACCCATTCTCTGCCTCAGAAAACATCTCTGGCAAGAAACTCCTCTAACACTCAAGCAGACAGACCCAGGCCTGGGCGACCATCCCCAGCTGTGGTCTCCCAAGGAGAGCACAGTGCAGGTTCAAGCTGAGATGGTGCGAGGCCCAATAACGGACAAGGCACCTCCCCTCAGGGAGAGAAGCTGTCTTCCCCAGCAGGCTTCACTGTCGCCTGACCCAGCAGGACCTGGACGTGATTCAGCAGCTGGAGTCCCTGCCTCATTGTGCAATGGCGGGAAATCACGAGACTTGCCACATGAAGAGGCTGCAAGCAGGGGGTGGGGGGGCGGCTCACGCCTTTTGGCATCTCATGTCAATCCAGGGAAGTGAGGAGACTCTCAGGACCTGACCGGGTGTCGTGCCCATGTGAAGGCTAGTGCAAATCCCCAGTGTTCTTTAGTTTGTATCATTGTATTCACGTGCATTAAACCCAAAACGTGGCCATTTGCAGGAGTTGCCTGTGCTGCTTCTAAGAGTGTTTACTCCCATCTGTATTGAAATCTATTAATAATATTTATTATTTCATGAAATGACGTTTATGACAATTCGTAAATGTCATCCAACATTCCACCACTCCAACATACTTAGATTTATTTATTTTTCCAGGTCTCTTATGTGTGAATACATAACCTTCACATGATTGGAATCATAGCAGGGATCCAGGCTTAATTCTTCTTTTTTGGGGTGAAATATTCAACATTATTCCATTGTCTCATCCATGATATTGATTGTGATATCATCATAGTTTACTTAACCCTTACTTTACTTTTGGATGTTTCCAGTTTTTCACTGTCACAGCACTGAATTAAACATCGTCCTTAAAATTTTTTTCTTCTCATGGATTATTCTCTCCTACTGATTTCTCGGGAATGGAATTAATGCATCAAAGAACATGAACAGTTTATGGCTCTTTATCCTTATAGTCAAATGCCGTTTCAAAAGCATTGTGTGAAGAGGCACACTAAACACTTGTACATTTGTTGATGTGCTTCTAGGTTACCGAGGAGACGAGCCTCATTCTACAGACCCTGGGATACACTTGCACATGTCGAGGAATAATCAACGTGAAAGGAAAGGGGGAACTGAAGACATACTTTGTAAACACAGAAATGTCAAGGTCCCTTTCCCAGAGCAACTTGGCTTCCTGAAGAGTCGCCTTCATTTTGGCAAGAAGACTATGTTTTCAGGAAGGTACAATGCACTATCTGACTGCAACTATTGTCCCTCATTTTTGATGTGCGTGCTCTGTTCTGTCCTCTGGAGCCCTTGCAGACTTGTTCCCATGACCCGGTGGCATACCGTTTGGTGTCTGATGTGTGCCAAGATCGCCTTGCCACTTGCACTGTGCTTACTCCTAAGCAAAAGGAAAAGGAGTGTGCGCCATAGGAGAAAAGCATTCAAAGAACTAACAAAGATGATAGAGGTGAAACAAACAAAAATTCTTAAGGCAATAAAACTAGGGGGTGTATATTATCTTCCGGTGCATGTTCTTTTCTGGAAAATATGGTAGCTCGCCAGCCGCATCCGCTAGTCTGATATTAAAACACACAGTATTTGTGAATAAGTTGATTCTGTCACCCCACATGGAATTTGACTGTGTTCATTCACGTGTCCATTGCCAGTGGCTATCCACGGGCCCGGCTGGGATCCGTGGCTGTCACCCTGCTCTGTTGTGTCTCCTGCCAGCAGCAGTAGCCATCCATCACCAGAATTAGTTCTCACTACCTAGGAACAGTTTTGTACCAGACGCGTCTGATGTTTTGATGCCATTGTCTTTTGTAAGGTTAATTCATTAAAAGTTTTATGTACTTTGCTTTATAGTCTATATCTTTTCCACCCCCTGCCTTTTTTCTTTCTCCTGCAGTTTGCTCCAGAATTGAGGTTTGTCTTCCATTCATTCTCCCTGTTGACAGTTGTTTCAGAAAAAGCCCTCTAGAAGCAAAGATTGAGATATCCTTGAGTAATTCAGAGCAGGACAAAGTTTATGATATAGATCATTGATTAGGCAGCTCCCTGGAAAGAAAGCAAGCATGCTCAATGTGTCACATGGTCTGGTTTTCATTTTGGCATCTCCAGAGAACATTTTCAGGGGAAAATATTTTAATAGGAAAAAAAGCCTCTGCTAGCAACAGCACCCCCTCTGTCCACATACTCTGGTCTACCTTAATTCCTTGGGAGAGCGTCAGAGACAGGCTGTATAAGAATCACTTGGAACTGACTCTGTAAATCAGCAATCATAATAGCTTGAGCTAACCAGAGCTGTGGAGCCCCACAAGCTGCCTGTTATGTCTGAGGAGGCTTAAGAGGGCACAGAGCCAATGTCTACGCATTTTTGAAGAGAAAAGAACTGGGAAAGTTTGTTCTTGTAAATCCAACTCTAAAGTTTTGGGTTTTTTTCTTCACGTGAAGAAATCATACTTTGCCAATGGGTGAAAAATAGAGCAATTGTGTGTAATTTAATGTTTAAAAGCAAAGCTGCAAATACCAAGCTGGTTGGGCAAACTTGGTTTCTTTTCCTATCTCCGGGATGGCATCTGTAAGAGGTAGAGGACCCCAGTGATCTGTTAGGAAGCAGGTTATTCCCGGGAACAGTTTGATTCCTGACTCTGATTTTTTCTAGCTGTGTGACTCCGAACACATCTCTCAATTTCTCTTAGGAGTGTTTTTCTCATTGGTAGCTCATGGGATCAGGTCTGATTAAAAGAGCTAATGACCGCAAGAGAGGCTGGCAGGCACCCTGGGCTTTCCTGCCAGTGCATTCACAGCACAGACGTGGCTGCCCTGCCAGGACTTGGACTCACCCTCAGTTAAAAGTGCTTCTCAAAACTAATAACTCGCTTTCACCACAGAAGTGGGAATACAGCATGACTTGTTCAATTGTCTGCCTCAATCAGGAATTTTTTTTTTCTTTTTTGGTGAGGAAGATTTGCTCTGAGCTAACATCTGTTGCCAGTCTTCCTCTATTTTGTATGTGGGTCGCTGCCACATGAGTGGCCACCAATAAGTGGTGTAGGTCTGTGCCCAGGACCTGAACCTGCAAACCTGGGCTGCCGAAGCAGAGTGTGCCAAACTTAACCACTACACCATGGGGCAGGTCCTCAATCAGGAATTTTTTGATCCCATAATTGCAATTCAACATTGGCCTTGATACACCTAATTCTCCAACAAGGTAATTGAAAGAAGAAAAATAGTATAAAGGCATTTCTCTTCAGTCTAACCAAAACCTGGATTAGGATGCTGTAGGGTTTCAGTCACTTCCAACTGGCCTTGTGTATCATTTGTAACAATGATCAGCAGCTGCACCTTGTGGTTCTTCCTCCCTTAGAGCCTGCAGTACCCATCCAGGGTGCTTTATGTCACCTGCCCTTAGTAGACACCCACAGCTGGGTGATTCGCCAAGTGCCCTTAAATGTACCCCCTTACCTGGCCCCCCAGATGTGCTGAATTTGGTGAAAAGCACACAAAAAGAGAATTTTTTTCCCCAAAGTTGTATCTCCAGTCTTATCAAACTATAGACTTTTAATTTTTTTGTGAGGAAGATCAGCCCTGAGCTAACATCCAATGCCAATCCTCCTCTTTTTTGCTGAGGAAGATTGGCCCTGAGTTAACATCCGTGCCCATCTTCCTCTACTTTATATGGGATGCTGCCACAGCATGGCTGGACAACCTGTGCGTCAGTGGGCACCTGGGATCCGAACCAGCAAACCCCGGGCTGCCACAGCAGAGTGCATGCACTTAACTGCTTGTGCCACCGGGCTGGCCCCCTAGACTTTTTAAAGTAAAGTCATTATCAGAGTCCACCTTGCAAAGGCCTGTGCATACATGGGTCTCTCAAAGTGTGGTCTCCAACCAGCAGCATCAGCATCACCTGGGAACTTGTTAGAAATGCGCATTTTCAGGTCCCAACCCAAACCTGCCAAGTGGAAGTTCTGGCGCTGGTGGTGGGGGTGGGGGTCCCGCACGCTTGCTATGTTTTGGATAACAAGTTCTCCAGGAGATTCTGATCCCCAGTCAAGCCTGAGACCCCCTCAACACACACATTTTACAAATGCAGAAACAGGGCAGAGAGGTCCAGGGGCTTGTTCAAAGCTTCCCAGTTAATCAGTGACCTAGATGAGAGGAGAATGGAAACCCGCCTGTCCCCTGAAATCTGTCCTTCGTGAAGCTCCTTATGCTCTGGCAACTACAACATTTGTGAGAGCAAATCACGCAAATGAGAGGACTTGCCGTTGACGTCCGTCACCCCATCGTCCCTGCGACATTGGCAGCAGATAAGTCCCTCCTCAAAGCTCTCCTTAACCTTTAAGTCTGGGAGGAAGCCCTATCTCATGAAAAACACCTTGAGTCCAGTCCCCTTAAAACTGCAGTATTTTTAATACAACTGTTTAGAAATGTCTACATTGTCGCAAATCCTCCATACTGTTCTTTTTCTCAACTCAATGTGATTTCCTAAAGACACCAACCACTCTGCTTTCCAAGAACATTGACTCATGGTGGAAACTTGATAAATCAAAACAAATTCTTTTATGTTTCTCTTTGATAAGATGACTAACAGGCATTCATTGATTGGCTTTAAGTTCTTAAAGTCAAGATGCGAAGAGAAATACAGTTAATTTTCCCTTATTGCCTAACAAACATGAGATCTTTTGAAACCTGGCCCAATTCAAGCCCTGCTTTTTAAAAGTGGTAGAAGGTTAAGGGAGGAGGATCTGACTTAGAGTAACCGAAAATTAGTTTGACATTAATTTATTGCAGTTACTTTCAGATGAAGGCATTTCTTAGAGATGCTTTGTCTTTCTTGGGAATCAAGACTGGAGAGAGAGAATTTATAAAAATTTCTGTAACCCAAACTTTATATATTTTCTAATGTTATTATAAATATGGTTTAATGTACCCAAAGTCATCCCAAATAAACTACTGCTATTTGTTGGGAAAAACTAAAATAAAAGTCACCTACAGTGAAAAAAATGTTTTCAAAAGAATAAAGTAGTATTTAGGAGTCACTTGGCCTTGAAATTGCCAGCAATTCAGTGTCACATGTCCTTAGAGAATGAAAACAATAAAACCAGCCATGGAGGAATCAGCACTGAAATTAATTAGATCACCTGCCCATTAACTGCTAAGAAGGGAGAAATTTAATAACAATCCATGGCAGATGATTTCTTCCAAGGGATCCATTTATTAAAAACATAGCTGATACCTTAATACTTGAATAAGTTTCAAATTATCTCCAAAGTAAACAAACATTTCCAACTTCGGTTTAAAACAGCTGCTTCCAAAAAGGAAGCTGTTCAAAGTAACAGTCACAGCCCCTGGTGTGCCTGGATTATGACTACACTCCAGTGGCTCATGGATTCCCACGCCAACTCTTCAAGGCTCCCACTTTAAAGATGAGGAAATGTGGGCTCAAACAGGTGAAATGATTTGCCTACACCTACACATGCAACCAGAAGATAAGGAGCCAGAATTTTACCCGTCTGCTGAACGCCAAAGTCCAGTCTCTTCCCATGACCTGTGGCTGCTTCATCCCCGAGGAGGGACGGCGGCATTGCTGGCCACCGAGGCCACCCATCCTTACTAGGGCTTTTGTCCCCAATTGTGCAAAATTCTGTTATTTGCAGCTCAGACCTCTGGGGTGGGGGGGGGAGATGTTGTAGTATCTAGAGTTCAATTGTGCCAAAAGGCGATTTCATGACATCTCCTCCAGGAGAAAGGAAAACTGAGTACTTACTATTTGTGCTATCAGGCAGTGCTGGAGAGCAGCAGAGCATTGCCTGATACAGTGCTGGAAGGGGAGAGGATGGCACAAAAAGATAGGCAGGGTCCACTCTGCTGTGCACAGGGTCAGTGGCTAGGAATCAGAATTGACTCTACGGCACTAACAAAATCAGGCAGTAGTGGTTTCCATAACTGTTAAGAAAAGTAACTGCACACCACTCCCTTGAGTGCCTCCCCCAAAAAGTCTTGCAAATGTGCAGAGGCAGTGATCAAAAATCAACCCAACTATTGTCAAGTGAGAACAAAGTTTTCATTTTATTTGGGTGCTCACAATGGATCAGTCTCCAGCATCATTTCATCTGAAATAATTATATTTGAAAACCATCACACTAGATGTTTTTAAACATCATAAGTATTAAAGGCGTTTGGCCAGGTTCTTCACCAAGGCAGCATGAGAGAAAGTGGCTTGTGGCGCTGTCCTTCCCACTGTCGAGGTGCAGCAGAGGCATCAGGCCAGCTCCAAGATGTCCGCAAGGGGGGAATAAGGCCACCTCACTTGCTCGTGGGTTGTGAGGTTCAGGCCACAGGGAGGGCGTCAAGCTGGAGAAATGTGCCCAAAGCTGGGCGCCTTGATGCTAGGGATATCGTTCTTGCGGTAGAAGTCGGCCCTCACATGGTTGGCGCGGCCGTGGTCCCGGTTCAGAGGCTCCACCGGCTGCTGTATGCGCTTCCCGTAGACGGAGGACGTCAGCACCCCGACTGGCCTCTCCCGCTCCTGTACAGGGGGCACATCAGGACACAGGTCAGCACACGCCCGCCTTGTCAGCATGGCTGCCCCTCCACTGGCCTGTGTCCAGGAAGCTGTTCCCGCCAGGGTCACCTGCACACCTGCATCCTGCCTCCACCAGGGCTTCTCGGGGGCTACTCCACGCTGATGCCAGGGGGACCTCTTAAACTACGTCAGACGCTGTCCCCTCTGCTCAGAGCCTCCAAGGTCCTCAAGTTGTTCAGAGGACAGGCAAGGTCTCGCCCTGGGCGCCAGGTATCCTCTGACTTCAGGTTCATGTTCTTCCTGCCTCTCCTCCCTTCTCCCTTCCTTCTCCTGCCTGCCTCTCTTCTCTCTTGCCTTCTTCCTTTGCCCAAATACACATCTCTCCTGTGCCCTCTTCATCTCCTCCCATCTCCCCAGCCCCCACTTCATCTGCCAGCCCCCCCATCTCCCAGGTGCCCCCTCATCCCTTTCACTTTCCCCATCCCCATAAAAGGCTTTATTTCTCTGCATACCACTTACCACTACCCGGATTTCAGTTCATTATTTATTTGGCTTTCGTTTTTCTGTTTCCTTGGGGGAATGTCAGCTCTAAGAGGACAGAGACTTTTACTTCCTTTATGCTCAGTAGGACACGGGAGGTGCTCAAAAGCTCTGACTGGATATAAGTAACGCTAGGCATGTTCTTATGAAAAAAAAGCACTAACTTCATACCAACTCGGAATGAATTAACATAAACAAAAACGATAGAAAAAAATTGTAATGTCTGTGACTTAAATGGTAATACCTTATAGTACCTCCTTCACTTAATTTCACACCAAAATAAAAAGTTTCATTGAAAGTGACATGGTGGCTTTCTTAAACAGTAACAGCCACAGGCAAAAATCTGATGATCCAGAAAGAATCCCACTGGAAACTTTTTCGTTCTGATTTCTGTGTGTTGCATAAAAGATTATGATATTTATTCAGCACTTGACTTTTAACAAACATGCTGTCCTCAGATCAGACTTTGTGGAGACAGTGTCCGAATGTGGAAAGGCAGCAGGAGGGTCTAGCCCAGCAGGCAGAGGGGCTGACCACGCTAAGGAGGTATACAACCACCTCACACCTGTACTCTGCTGTGACCCTGACCTCCTCACTCTGTGAGTTTTGCTCCTTCTGTTCGTTACCACCTCTGTAGCTGACTACAAGCAAAGCCCTCCCTTTCAGAAAATCAAAGATAAAAGAGGAACTGTGCTATATGTGGTGGTCGTAGTGGCCTGGTCCCCAAACTTGGGAGATATTTGCTTGTGTGCGTGGTTTTATCCCTGGAAAGACAGTGTCCCTAGGGGAACTATGACAGCCAGGACTCAGAGGTTAAGCAAAGACCTATTTTATCTGTTGAAAAGGACTTCTTAGTTTTGCTTTCATTAAATTCTTAAGTTCTATAGAATGAACCAACAGAGTCATAACAATTAATACACAATAATATGACAATAGATTGAGCTATAATAGTAGCTGAGTCTTAGCTTCCTGGCACAGTAAGCCACATACAGGAGAGTTACACACAGCAAACTGAACACAACAGTAAGTAGGTATACACAAACACACAGTTACTCTAACACCTTGTTAATATCCTGTCTTAAGATTACCTCCTCGTTGACATGAAGTCCCAGACTTTTTGCATGTTCTCTGTCATCTCGGTGCAATTTTTGATTATAACCCGGGTTCTTCTTAAAAATACAATCATAGAGGGAAATGATTCCTGTCTGGGAATAAAAAGAGAAAGAAAGCCACGAGTTTACTTTAAGGCTGAGCCATTGAAGCCTCCTTCATGGAGCAACACTCCATGTTGCTAGCCAATAGGCAGGCTGAGTGCAAAGCCCTCTCTAGAGAAATGAAAATATTTTCTTCAATCATATGTGGTAGCTATAACAAGTGTAATTCATATATATTTGAAATATATGTTTGTATATTATACATGTATGTATCCATATGTATAATATACACGTATATATCAAACATATATAAAATAGACACATATGTATCAAACATAGATATAAAACACACACACGGCTTTGATATATTAGACAATAATCCTGTTGACAGAGCTATCATCTGTAATATCTCCATTTTTTCATCTCAACTTTTTCTTAATAGAAAAATAAATCTGCTTTATTTGGTATCTAGCAAAAGGAAAAGAAATCCATGTGTTAGCTGATCATTAATCTTCACCTTGTAAGTCAGGCTGTCATTTATGTTCCTCAGACAAGGGCCAGTGGCCCTGAGTCCTGCCAGCAGCAGATCCAGACATGCCGTCTCGCTGGGATTTGGGAGCACAGGGTCTGTAACCTGTGTTTGTTTTTGTTGTTTTTTCTCTTTTTTCTGGGTAGTAATGCTAGAATGATGTCCTCCGACTGCACGACACGGAGGTGGAAGGTAAACAGTGAAAAGGATGCCTGACGTGGGCATCGTCTGTTGGAAAACCCCGTACTGCCCATTCCCGCTGACTGTGGGAACTCAGAGGTGCTGGCAGCAATAGGGATGACTAGGGTGTGATGTAGCTTCAACCCAGCCTTGACAAATGGTTCACAGGTCATCTGTCCTGTGCAAGACATGCTTCTCCTGCTAGGGGCATCCTGAAGATAACTCAGACCTGGCTCCTGTCCTGGCACAATTAGCCGTCCAGTAAGGAAAACAAGGTGGTCTTTTAGAATCAGGACTTTTAAGGTTCCTAAGAATCCCAGTGGCAACACGCTGAACATTCCAGTGACAGCAGGAATCCCGGTTGGCCTAAGTCACTCCAAGCAGATTAGAGGCAGGAGCCATGGATTCCATGTCTGTGCCCTGCTGGCCATTAACGAGGTCACCGCAGACGAGCTTCTTCTCCATGTTGTCTTCACTCACACGCACTCAGCTTCTGGGTCTGTTCATGTATTGGTTTGGCTGGCCCCAGCCTTCACCATTCCGGAAGGCAACCTACAGTATAGCTCATGTACTCATAGGGTTAAAAACAAAAAGCCTAGATCAATGGAGAGGTGGTACATTACCAGCATTTGGTTCTATGAAAATTGGCTAAGTATGGGAAAAATGTAAACTTGAGTCTTCACATCACTTTATAGACAAAAGTAAATTCTGGATGAATTAGAAAAATCAGTGAAAAGACAACCCATGAGGGACTTCCCACCCATGAAGGCAGTGGGGGAAATGTCACAAAGAAAATGTCAATCACTTTGACTCTATAAAATGCAGACATTTGCTTATCAAATAAAATTAAAACTTAAAACAATTTAGGAAATGACAGAGAATTCTCAATACCTCTAACATACATAGTATAGGATGCTCACTGGATGGGCGGGGTGCTTGCTTCCAACCTGGAGAGGTTAGGCAAACCTTGCAGCAAACCTTTTTTGGGAGAGCCACCAGGCCAGAGGGCCCTGCAGTGATGCAACGGAAGCTCACTCTGCAGGCATGATGGGGGACAAATTCTCCAAAGAAGCACACTGGCCTTCTGTGATGGGAGCTACGCAATGTAGACCCTTCCCTTTGGGGTTCAGAGCCTCTGGCCAGGCCCGGCTGAAGCCAGCAGGCAGACACAAACAGTAACTTGATACCCCATTGCCCCCACACCACCCCCACTTACACACAACAATTTAAGCTGGGCTCTTGCTCATAATCTAGATGTCCTGTTGTGGCTGGAATCCCTCCTGGCCTGGCTGACCCTATGAAATGGGTGTGTTTCGGGAGAACAGCTGCAGTGTGCAGCAGAAAGACCTGGTCCCTGGGACTGAGCACTGGGTGGCAGCTGCACCCACGGCAGGAGGTGCCCTCTTCTCCTGCACCCTGAGAACCTTGGGCCAAAGAGGAGGTGACTGGAGGATCCTCAGTTCCCACAGCACTCCCTGCGGGTGACCAGCTGTGCCCAGGACTGAGGGACAGCCCTGCCAGAAGGGGGCAGCACTGACAGCAGGGGACACAGGGATCCTCCAGGAACTGCCCGTCTTGTGCTGTCTTCTGCAGGTGTCTATTTAGACCTGACCCTTCTGAACTGAGTAGGACCCCTAGGGTTCCCGAACCTGTCCTGGGAGAAAGAACGAAGAGGGAAGAATGGACTCAAGAACAGAAGGAGAATGCAATCACTGTTATCTGAATGAGAAAAAAAATGTTGCTTCATTTAGTTCCCTATGCTGGAAACCACTACAATATGCAGCTTTACAGGATAATTCCTATTTCTTCTCATTCTAATCAGTTCTCCTAAAATACTCGATAAAAGTAACACCTATAAGCAGCAATGCCTCCCTCTCACCCTCAGGATTAGCTACCAAGAGACTACTATATCTTAGAAGTCTTTATTAGGAATCTCTCTGCTGATGGATGCGATCAGAATCTCTCTTCTTTGTGGGGATTTTGCATATTCAGAACTTTCCAGACTAAAAACAAGTTTTTCTGCCATTGAAAAATAAGAGAAAAAAGAAAAAAATTTAATGCCAGGCAGGCAGGCTCTCAGCAGTGTGACTGTCCAATTCCAATACCTAATCAAACTGAAAACCTGTCTTTTCCTGGATTTTAATTTTTAATCTTTCTTCTTTCATTTTGTCCTTCATTCCTTTATGGTTTGAAGCCAAATTACATTGATAAAAGCCCATCTGGATTTAGCTGCTATCACAGAACAGAGCTTCAGGGTTTACTGGTGTTTTGCTATTAAAATCTCTCAAGGGATTCCTCTATTTCACACATGACATTGCTCTTAAAAAAACAAAGCAAAACAGAGCCCATTTATTTTTTCTCTTGTGATCTCCCTTTGTCCCTTTGGGTTTTGAGTACTGTTAAAATGGGGTATGGTCTTATTCTGGTCATAGTGTCTGATCATCTGCCATCAGTTTCTCCCCTGGCAAAGCCCACCCCTAACACTGAAAAATCACCCCAGTCTATAGCCCTGGGCCAATGCTGTAAGTGGAGTGGAGGCCTTCAGTTTTCAACCTCCAACACACAGTAGGTCTACAATAGTGCAAGGTACTCTACTAGGCTCCAGGACAGACATAGGGAGTCCCTACCTTAAAGGAGAACACAGACTGAGGATGGAAATAAACCCATTAATTAAACACTACAACATAATCCAAATGGAGTAACAGAGGGACACACAAAGTACAGTGGTGCCAAAGAAGGAAGGACCAGCTCCCGTCTGGGCTGGGAAGTGGATGTGACTGAAGTCAATATAGGAGGGACGGCACCACTATGGCTAGAGCCCCTGGGAAGTAACCTCCCTGGGCGTTATGGGTTGAACTGCGTCCTCCAAAAATTCGCATGTGGAAGTGCTAACCCTTACTACCTCAGAAGGTGACCTTATTTAGAAATAAGGTCATTGAAGATGTAATTAGTTAAGATGAAGTCATACTGGGGTAGGGGAGGCCCCTAATCCAATAAGACTGGGGTCCTTATAAAAAATTTGGACACAGACATAGACACACAGAAAGGGAAGACACCGTGAAGAGCCACAGGGAGAAGAGGTCATCTAAAAGCCAAGGAGAGAGGCCTGGAACAGATCCTTCCTCACAGCCCTCAAAAGGAACCAACCCTACAGATACCTTGATTTTGGACTTCCAGCCTCCAGAACTATCAGACAATAAATTTCTGTTGTTTAAACCACCCAGTGTGTGGAACTTCATTACTGCAGCTCTAGCAAACACACTTGGTAAGGGAAAGTAGCAATCTTTTGAACAATGGAAAGTAAGGATGGAGGTAAAGTAAAGTTATTGCAGTGGGCCAGAGACCCAACCTTGGAGCGCTCTGCCCCAGGTAAACTGAACTGGTAGACATCACCAATATTCAATTCTCCTCTACTCCTGACTACACAAAGGATTAATCTTCCATGCTCCGTTAGGTCAGTGAAGCCACGTGACCAGTTCTAACCAAGGAGCTATGAGTGGAGGCAACATGTGACTCTTTAGTCAGAAGCATTTAAGAGCCAGTGCTCAGGGAACTCCTGAGGCTTCATATCAGGATATGAAGTTCCATCGTGGTTGCTGAGTGTCTGTACTGGGCAGAGCTACCCTGCTGATCCCTGTTGGACATTGAGCATGAGAAATAAGCCTTGTTTTAGGCCATTGAGACTTAGGGGTTGTTTATTACTGCAGCATAAATAATCTAGCTTATCATGACAAAGGCAAGCAGACAAATGAGGAAGTACAGGCCTACCACCTCTGGTCCACAAGGGGCCATCTCTGGGGATGTGGGCTTTTATTATGCCCAGCGCCTCCTCCCAGCCTTGGAAGCTCTCCTCCTCCCAGAAGTTACACACACTCTCACACAAATAACTGGGGTAAGATTTTGAGCAAACTGAGACCCAAGTCCTTTCTTTTCCCCTCCCTTTCAGACCATGATATAGCCATATGATCAGCAGTTTTGTTCAGGCGTTATTTTCACTTTTTTTTTTCTTTTGCTGAGGAAGATTGGCTCTGAGCTAACATTTGTGCCCATCTTCCTTTATTTTGTATGTGGGATGCGACCACAGGATGGCTTGATGAGCAGTGTGTCAGTCTGCACCCAGGATTTGAACCTGTGAACCCTGGGCCGCCAAAGCGGAGCTCGCGAACTTAACCACTATGCCACAGGGCCAGCCTCCCAGTTTTCACCATGTTTAATGGATCTGTTGTTGGCAGTGGTTGCCTAAAGCAAAGCGCTGCAACCTGCTGCCTTTATTTACCCTTGACTTGAAATCAACAATCTCCTCCTCCTGATTTTGTGTCAGTTTCACATTGGAGCTGTACCC